TTCGATGCGGGATCTGAAGCCAGTACGTCATTCCACCCTTCGTTGACTATATCTGCAATGAGTGGTCGGAGGCTACGGACTGCCTTTACATGAATAACAAAACCGCCTTTTGCCAGGTTTATGGACGCAACTTGCCCTAGCTTATGCCATCCACAAGAGCTTCATTTTCATCCGAGTCCCACTGACAGCAGCGGTGACACCAAAGGTCGTCAAAACACTACGACGATGGGGTTGGGATATCGGGAAGCGGAAGCCCAAAAGCACCTGAGATTAAAGTGATTCTACGCAGTAGTAGCCATCCGCGCCCTCATCCCCCAGCCATCCACCAAGACACGCTCCTGATTCCCACCTCGCAGCTCCGCTCCACTATTATACCTTCACAGCACTACATATTTCCCCTCACACAACACCCCCGGACTTAACATATAGTCCCCTCTGTGTAGTACGATTAGATACATTACATTTCTCAATATATGCAACTTCCATTATTTAAGCCCTTAAGCGTGCATCTAACAAAATATCTATATCTGTCGATGCAATGCCTTTCACCACATGCAAAAAGGGAGGGAGAAAGGGATGACAGGAAAATTAGAAGTAGAGAATAAACGGTTCATGGGTTTTATTACTCTGCAGTCATCCACTGGCAAATGGGTTAAGTTAGTAAAATAACCCGAAAATACCACGGAGTCTCATATATACTCTTACTTATAAAACTCAAGGTCTAATAAACGAATGGACGAAAGATTTGAGTGTTTAGATATCTCCCTCCAATCTAAACTCAAAGAAATAGATCACATATCAATCGTATCATTAAATCGCAAAACACCATTCCTTCTCATAACCCCATTCACGCCCTCGGGCATTTTATACGCCCATTCTGCAGACAAGCCGACTTCAACTCCAACTCCGACGCCAACGCCAACGCCAGCTCCACTTTGTTCATAGTCACGATCATGATCGCCCAATCGGCCACTACTGACACCGAAACGGGTCTTGTCCAATATCTCATCTGAAGTATCCGCGACAAGGACAAGACCCAGTTCCTTGATCGATTCGACAAGGAAGGGCATGACATTCTGCGCGAATTGTTAAAATTGAAGGGTTAAGAACAAGATTTCAAATTCGAGTTCAAATTCAAAAAAAAAAAAAAAAAAAAAAAAAAGAAAAAAAAGAAAAAAGAAATGAAAAGAAATGAAAAGGAAAAGGGAAGGGAAGAGAAGGGAAGAGAAGGGAAGGAAAGGGAAGGAAAGGGAAGGAAAGGGAAGGAAAGGGAAAAAATGAAGAACTGGGGACTTACTAGCAAACTCGAACGACACATCAATCCCATGAAGTTATTGCTCTGTGCAATCCGCGCGGATTCCTTGATGGACATCGACGTGCGCCCACTGCTGCGGACGACAGGTAGGGAGCTGACGTCTTGTGTCAGGTCGCGGATCTGGCCTAGGTCGTTGCAAAGAAGGACTGGGTCTGGAGATGTGTCAATTTTGACATTTGGTAAGCAAGGGGAAACACCAATGATAGAGATAGATATGCAAGTGATTGTCATGCAAAGAAAAATAAAAATATCGATAAACATACAGTTTGGTTGTTTCCAATTCAACGCAATGCAAATATTAGGATTATACGAGGTGAATACGACCGAGCGCATGAAATCCGGGTTCGTCTCCTTAGACGCTCTGGCATGGGGCGAAGACGTCTGTGAGAATGCATCGGCGACAGTGTTTATATCTGCTAGTGGGCGGAGACCTAGTTTCCCTCTTCAGTTGGCGTGGCGGATAGAATGCATAGGTCAACGTGGATATTTGTGGGGGAGG